AAAAAAAAAAAAAAAAAAGATTAAAAAGTGTTTAATACTGTACTATTTCTACTATAAGCCTTACTCAAGGCCAGGAGACCTGTATTTGTCTTCTTTTCCCATTTCAGTTAAAAAGAGAAAGGCAACACCACCACCACCTTCAGCTATGTTCTTTTACAGAACAAGTACCCAGCACTTATTAGAGGCCGCCAAGCTTCTGGTTCCTATGTGGCCCTCTCAGTAGTGTAAATGTAGGTGTGTCCAAGTAATTTCACTAGGACCTTAACCTGCAACTCAACCTATGACGTAAGTTGAAGTGCCCCAGCTAACACTACAGCATGGTTTGCTCTTTTCTCCACATATGGTAAAACACAATGTGACACCTTGGTTCAGTTTCATCCCCCCTGTCCATCTGCATTTCCCTCCAATCTAAGTCCCCACTGAATCTAAGGTAGCTCTCATTTCCCCCTAAAAAGGGAAAGCAGAGTAATTCTTCTTAAAATCTAATGCCTTCTAAAATGAAGAATCATCAAAGTCTCAATTAAAGTTTAATAGAAACTACAAAGGATCCATGGGCTGATGCCCTCTACTAACAGATAGACTATACAGATCAGATGGCCTGTCCCACAACACAACTCAAGCCATTCCCACCAAGGGAACAAAATCTGGCATCTCAAACCCCCATAAGAAAGGCCTGTCTTATAATACACCACTTCTTGTCTGAACCTAAAGTCTTGTGTTTTACCCATGGAAAAAAAAAGTACAAAAGAGGTTTTGTTCTCATGGCTGCCACTGCAGCCCAGCACTAAAATATCCCAGTGCTCATTTCTGCTTGGAGAAATATTCTTTGCTCTTCTGGACATCAGGCTTGATGGTATCACTGCCAGGCTTCCAGCCAGCTGGGCACACTGTAAGAGAAAGGTACCACAAATTAATAACCTGTCAAGTGGTATGTACTTCCTCCTATGCCTCTAAACCAGATCTATGCCCTAGATCAAGTGTCATCAAACTTTTTAAACAGGGGGCCAGTTCATTGTCTCTCAGACCGTTGGAGGGCCAGACTGCGGGGCCCAGGATGAGTCGGCTGCTAAGCAAGACAGGCAGCAGTGGCAAAAACACCTGGCTGTCAGATAAATGTCCTAGGCAGGCTGCATGTGGCCCACAGGCCATAGTATGAAGACACTTGCCCTAAATAAAGTCCAACTAGGCTCGGCGCCTGTGGCTCAGGTGGCTAGGGCGCCAGCCACATACACCTAAGGTGGTGGGTTTGAATCCAGCCCGGGCCGCCAAACAACGATGGCTGCAACCAAAATATAGCTGGGTGTTGTGGCGGGTGCCTGTGGTCCCAGCTACTTGGGAGGCTGAGATAGGAGATTCGCTTGAGCCCAGGAGTTGGAGGTTGCTGTGAGCTATGCCATGGCACTCTACCCAGGGAGACAACTTGAGGCTCTGTCTCAAAAAAAATAAAATAATTAAAAAAAATCCAACTACTCAAAACACCAGGAAACCTACCCTGTGGTCTAAGATCATTCATCCTTTTAGTGTAAATCTAATTACTTTATAAATCTTAAGTAATTTAATCCTCACCATAGCCCTAATACACAATTATGCCTAATTTATTCACATAAAACCTGAAATTTAAAGAAATTAACAGTTTTTGTTTGGTTGGTTTGTTGGCTGGGGCCGGTTTTGAACCCGCCACCTCTGGTATATGGGGCTGGCGCCCTACTCCTTGAGCCATAGGCATTTTCAACCATAAATTTTGTTCTAAAATTAATGTGTTAAGTATATATAGAAGAATATTAAGATTTGTTAATGGCTCGGTGCCTATAGCTCAACCGGCTAAGGCGCCAGCCACGTACACCTAAGGTGGCGGGTTCGAATCCCCAGCCCGGACCCGCCAAACAACA